GAGAACAGCTTTGACAGAACTATGGCTTGCCCAAGGTCATCCAGCAGCTGCAAGTGGAGGAGTGGGGAATCAAACCTCGTTCTCCCAGATTAGAGTCTGCACACTTAACCATTATACCAAACTGGCTCTCTAAATTCTGTTAGGGTATGAGCTTTCGTGAATCACTGCTCACTTCTTCAGGTATTCCCACAAATTTTGTTAGTCTTTAAGGTGCTACGGGACTCTTTTCTACTATTTCAAGGCAGAATCACTTATGCAGCTAGAAGCCTTGTCCTTTTCTTAAGGCTGGGACATGCATGTAACACTTGCGCGTAATGCAATAGGTATGAGCTTTCGTGAATCACTGCTCACTTCTTCAGGTATTCCCACAAATTTTGTTAGTCTTTAAGGTGCTACTGGACTCTTTTCTACTATTTCAAGGCAGAATCACTTATGCAGCTAGAAGCCTTGGCCTTTTCTTAAGGCTGGGACATGCATGTAACACTTGCGCGTAATGCAATAAGTGCTGAAGTCACCCAGTTACAATACCTTCCTCTTGCATCATCTGCCATTTCTGCCTCCACCTCAAGATCACTCTTCAAAGTTCACTCACAAAGTTCAAAGATCACTCTTCAGAGTTTTGATCAGGTAGGCAATGATACATCCCCAGTATGGTCATCTTTGAGAGCCAGTTTGGTGTAGTGGTTAGGAGCACAGACTCTAATATGGGAGAATGAGGTTTGATTTCCCCACTCCTCCACATGCAGCTGCTGGTGTTACCTTGGGTCAGTTACAAGTCCTTTCAGAGCTGTTCTCTCACGAGCAGTCCTTGGGAGAGCTCTCTCAGTCCCACCTACCTCACAGGGTGTCTGTTGTGGAGAGGGGGAGGGAAAGGAGATTGCAAGCCGCTCTGAGACTGCTTTGGATAGTGAAGGGTGGGGTATAAACCCAATCTCTTCTTCTTCTTCTTCTATCTTCACCCAGAGTAGCTGCAGGAAAGCACAGTCTTCCAGTGTTTCCCACCTTCCCTGACTCTACATCCTCTTTGAAATACAGAGCCAGACCAAACCCCACTGTGTCACTTGCTGTCCTTTCTACTGTGTTTATATCCAGGAATACCCGTATCCCACTGATCTTTCCCCATTCCACCAGGCTTCTGATATGCCCACTGTATTCGTGTTCACTTTCAGCTCCAAGCACTCCAGGTCTCTCATCTTGGTTCGGAGACATCCACTATTTACATGTAAACATCTGTAACCTTGTTTCTCCCTCCAAACCTCCTTGGAACCGATGTTTCCCCTTCGACGTTCTGTCCTTCCAGAAAGGCTGTTAATATCCTATCATTGTCAAGCACAAATACTGGATGGGGGATACATTTCTGGGAAGCAGTGTATGTGAAAGAGATCTTGGGGTAAGAGTGGACTGTAAACTAAATATGAGCAGTCAGTGCGAAGCGGTGGCAAAAAAAAGGCAAATGCAGTCTTAGGTTGGATTAAAAGGGCCATAGCCCCTCTGCATACTGCCTTGGTCAGGCCACACCTGGAGTACAGTGTGCAGTTCTGGAGGCCTCACTTTAAAAAGGATGTGGGCAAAATCGAGAGGGTGCAGAAGAGAGCGACGAGGATTATCAGGGATCTGGAGACTGAGCCCTGCGAGGAAAGGCTGAGGGCCTTGGGAATGTTTAGTCTGGAGAAAAGGAGACTGAGGGGGGGACATGATTGCTCTCTTCAAATAGTTGAAAGGCTGTCATTTGGAGGAGGTCAAGGAGCTGTTTCAGGTGGCAGCAGAGGATAGGACCGGAAACAACGGGTTTAAATTACATGCAGAAAGGTATCAGCTGGATATTAGGAAAAACTTTCCCATGGTCAGAGTGGTTCAAAGGTGGAATCAGCTGCCTAGGGAGGTGGTGAGCTCCACTGACAGCTTTCAAGAAGAGGCCAGACGAATATTTGTCAGGGATGCTTTAGGCTGGTCCTGCATTGGGCAGGGGGTTGGACTAGACGGTCTGTATGGCCCCTTCCAACTCTATGATTTTATGATTCTATGTTCTAGCCTCTCCTCATTTAAATGACCTGGCAAGTTGACGCCATCGCCCCCTCCGAATGAATTAGCCCAAACTAGATGCTTCCCATTACCAGCCCATTTTCTCCCAGCAGCTGCTGCTTTTGCGATTTTATTTTTACATGAAGGGCCAGCAGTCTGCTTGCCCTCTCCCCTCCCCTCCCCCACCCGCTATAAGAAGCACCTGCTGGAGTCCTACTAGACATAACAGATGAAGGTGGAAGAGGGAGAAGACTGGGAAAGCACCGAGTAGAAGCAGCAACGGATGTCTGTTTCACTCATAGAATCATAGAATCACAGAGTTGGAAGGGGCCAGACAGGCCATCTAGTCCAACCCCCTGCTCAAAGGGACATAAGAGAAGCCAATGCTGGATCAGGCCAATGGCCCATCCAGTCCAACACTCTGTCACACCATGGCAAAAAATACCAGGTGCCCCAGGAGGTCCATCAGTGGGGCCAGGACACTAGCAGCTCAATGCAGAATCAGATAGGGAACTCATTTGTTATGAGGGCCAGATCTGACATAAATGAAACCTTGTTGGGCCGGACCATGTGTGTCATAAAAGGTAATGCCAGTTAGCGGAAATAGAAACTTTATAAAGGACACAGACAAACACAATTAAAGATTTTTTTAAACTTTAAATAACACATTTCCAGTGAGTTCGACACCCCTGGCCTAGAGCATCCATGACAAGTGTTTGTCTAGCCGTTGCTTAAAGACTGCCAGTGAGGGGGAGCTCACCACCTCCCCAGGGCAGCTGAGATTCCACTGTTGCACAACTCCACTGGGACACTATTTTTTAATTTATTTATTAGATTTATATCCCGCCCTCCCCGAAGGCTCACTTGAAACCCACATGTCGAACTTTCAAGTAGCAAAATGACAGCCCTACTTTACCAGTACTCTGTAGCAAAAAAAAAAAAAAGTTTCTAGCCTTCAAAACTCGTTTCATCAAAAAATAAAATGTCATAGCAGCCATGCTGCTCTACCGACAGCTGTGACTTGACAGACGACAGGAGCCCATCAGTTGTGAAGATGAGACAGGCTCTTCTGAAAAGCTGAAATCAAACTACCTACTTAGAGCTTGCTCTTGAAGGGGTTCGATTTGCTACTAACAAGCTGCTTACAAAAGGGGACCCTCCGACCGCTGTTTGCTGCCGCTTACCCATACACCTGCATGCAATTACATTAGGCAGAACACAATCCGCACACAAGGCTCCACTCCGGAGGCAAGGCACCACACAAAGGCGTCATTATCCTCCAGGCAATTTGTCTTTTTTGAGTGTGTTGTGTACATACATTTTCTCACTTCATACCGGCTTCCAGAGCAATTCCGAGAATAAAAAAGGGAGGGGGGGAATCTCTACCAAAGAATCCAGAGTCATTGAGAGGTACACACATCTAGGGGGAAATGCAACCACTCTTTTGAGCCAAGTTCTCAGCAAAGGTTCGGAAGAATGGGGGGAGGGGGGCTTGAGGCATGGGGGAGGAAGAAAAGATTACCGGTTTGAATCAATGCCCTGCATTCAGACTACAAAATAATGGCACTCTTGGCCCCGACAAAACGTAAATGGTTTCATCAAAGCCTGATTCTAAAACTCAGCATTAGCTCGCTTCTGGGGAAAGCAGGGCGAATAAGAGAGGAACTTTTCAACATTTCCCCCCCATACCAGATTCTACACTCTGAGATCTCCAAAGCACTGATGCTGGAGTATGTAGGACTAGCATGGATAAAAAGCCACACAGCCCGGGGGGGGGGGAGGCCAACTGCACTCAGGAGGGAGGGAGGGAGAACTAAGTGAACTCATCCTCCCCTTCCTCTTCCATCACTAGGAATTCCATTGGGGCAGAAAGCATTGGTAATCTGGTTCTCCCTCCTAAATCCATCTCCCGGGGATGGCGGGGATGACTTGTGACTTTTTGTCTATACATCCTGCATCACTGGAGGTCTCAGGGAACCACTCGGCGAAGGGGAGGGGGGGAGAGAACTTGGTCTGCACTCATCCACTTGCCTATGCCCCCTGCTGGATCCAAATCACTCTAAGAATATAAAAACATAAGAGAAGCCAATGTTAGGTCAGGCCAGTGGTCCATCCAGTCCAACACTCTGTCACACAGTGGCCAAACATACCAGGTGCCATCAGGAGGTCCAGCAGTGGGGCCAGGACACTAGAAGCCCTCCCACTGTTGCCCCCCCCAAGCACCAAGAATACAGAGCATCCCTGGCCCCAGACCGAGAGTTCCCATCTATACCTTGTGGCTAATAGCCACTGATGGACCTCCCCTCCATGTGTTTATCCAATTTCCACTCTCTCTCAGAATAATAAAAAAATAATCATTTTGTGTGGCCTGACTTGAGACCTTAGGTCAAATCAGCTGACCATTAAAGATCACTCTTTCTTTTTTTCTTAGTATTACATCTTCCCACAGTACTTACTTAGCAAATCTTTCAAGGTCCTGCGCAAAGGTGTCTGAAAAGGAAAATAAAAAGTTATCTCAAACTCTTCTCCCCCAAGGTCTAGAAAGAAGAATAATTTCATTAACGTGATCATGTACACTAGAACAATATGTACTGTTAATCAACCTCTCTGTATTGTTAATCAACCTCCACTAATTCTGGCATGTTTATTCTATCCGAGCAACTTGGTGGTGGTGGAAAATACCATCAAGTCATAGGTGGCAACCCCTTTGGGTTTTCAAAGCAAGAGACATTCAGAGGTGGCGTGCCATTGCCTGCCTCCACATCACAACCCTGGTATTCCTTGGAGGTCTCCCATCCAAATACTAGCCAGGGACAGCCCTGCTTAGCTT